CTGTAATTATGATTCTATACCAGCAAACAGAGTCATGTCATCGCTGTGCCTCATAAAAACTGTGTCTTTCAATAAGCTTCTTTTGGTGACTGTATTATGTTTGTGTTTAATTTGTGGCAGGGAACCCTAATGAGAAGCTATTAATCATTGAGTGTATATAAAAATGTGTGTCCTTAACTAAATAGCCCGTAGAGGATATGGCAAACCATTATTGGCATGACATGATTTAGAACTGGAAAGGGATTTGAGAAAAATAATCTAGTCTAACCTAATTTTATGGATGAGATTCATTTAGAAGCGGAGGGGAAGGCATGTGGTTCTGTGACTGCAAACATAATAGTCTGAAAGTCAAGGGACGCGTTTTAAACCTGAACGTGGCACTAAGGAATTATGGCATAAACTGCCTTGACTTCCTCATTCATTCTTGTTTCCAAACTGTGGTGTATAGAATTCACAGATTGAGGATTTGGAAATAAAAAGGGGACATCAGCGTGACCTGACCTGCCCCCCATTCAGACAGAGCGGCACCGCTTGAATCTACTTTACATTGTAGTATCTGGTAAAAAAATCGCATTGACTTTTCTCTTTTTGAAGTTTGATGTTTCATCAGTCTGAGAATCACAGATGGAGCAAGAAGAACTGCAGCAAAGACTGGCACTGACTTTAGAAATGCACACCCAGGGGCCTTGGGAGCACGTGGGAGGGGCAACTAATCCCGCTGGATCTAGGGAGCAGGGGTTTAGAGTTGGCTTCCCAGACGTAACAGATGCTAGGTCTTCCTTATCATGTTCTTGACTTTCTTTTCTATGTGCCTTTAATAAAAGCTCCTGGAGACTTCTTCTGGAAGAAGATGAGAAGAGATGAGAAAAATTCCAAGAACTGCGGAGCAGAACCCTTGTCTGACTGTAATCCTGGGAAAATTGCTTACCCAATATGAACTTTCACATCAACATCTGGAGATACAGGACCAGTAACAGGAGAGAGTACCTCAAAGCATCTTGAAGATTAGATACAATGTGTAAAAGTACTAATAAAACTAGAAAGCCCTATAAAATGTTGATTATTGCTATTAATACTGGAAAAGGCTTTAACTCCAGATAACTGACATGATCTTTCCCAACTAAACTAAGACTGTGCTCCTGCAGAGGTTTGGTTCTTGTTGGATAACTGGGGCAAAAGGTCACTTTACAATATAAATAGTAATAACAATTGTGAAATCTTCATTAAAATCAGATCCTCTGCAGTTTTAGTATTTTAAAAGGTGCTAGAGATTTTATTTTTTTTCTTCTGTCTTACCAATTAAACCCAAGACCTTCACACTGAGATATCTCCCCAGATCTCTTTTATTTTTAATTTTGATACAGCATCTCAGAGATCACTAAGTTGCCCCAGTTTGAACTTGATACCTCTGTCTCAGCCATCCAGAGTGCTGGGATTAAAAGCCTGCTCTGCCATGTCCCCACTACTATGCTAGATTTTTGAAGACATCCCTATGTGTAAATTTAGCTAATTTGAGATAAAAGCAATTGATAGCTAGGCATGGAGGCATACACCTGCAATCCCAGCTCTGGCAGGCTGATGCAGATTATCAAATTGGAGCCCAGCCTGGGCAACTCATCAAGGCCCTGTCTCAAAATAAAAAATAAAAATATACAAAGAAAGAAAGATAGAAAAGAAAAGAAAGGGAAAAAAAACCTGCAATGTAGCTCAGTGTGAAGGCCTTGGATTCAATATCTAGTATGGGTGGGGTGGATTTAAAACAAACTAAAGACCAACTACCACCAGTACTACTTCTCCTATACCCTCTTGCTGGTCTACTGTTACATTCTGAGGTCAAGTCAGGTCCTGTTCATTGCCTTAACATCCTATGATTTCTATATTGAAGAGAGAGAATTGACATTCCTTATGGCAATCCTGCAATGTAAGCTATTTTGAGAAAGAATGATTTTTTAAAAGTCTCCTAAAATTAAAAATAAAAGCGAAAAATACTCACTAAAGGTTAAAAGATTTTCTTAATCAACTTCCTTGAAGAATCCAATTCACCCTAATTTCCTAATTCTGAGCACTGAGATCTAACTGTCCTGTTCTAAATTATGATCAGCACTTGCTTATTATCTTGATCACTCATACCTCAAACCAGTTAGTGGGTTGCTCCATTCCAGGGTGGAATTTGTTTTTTTCTTGTTATACTAACACTTTCTTCTCAAAAAAAAGAATTTATCTACAACATACTTAAAGAACATTCAAAGAAAAATCTTGGCAGAGTTTTCAAAAGGAACAGCATTTGCCACATGTGTTTGTTTGTGGTAACTTACCTCCCTTCCTTTCTTCCTTTTTGTCTTTCTTTTTTTTTCCGGTACCGGGAATCGAACTCATGACCTTGTGCTTGCCAGGCAGGCACAGTGCCGCTGAGCTAAATCCCCAACCCCTTTTCTTTCTTTTTTAAATTCTGGAATCCCAACATTAATGATTCTCTGGCTCTGCATCCCTTATCCTAAGTATCTTTAAATGAAATACACACAAAAGTTTGTTCATAGTTTCTTGATCTTTCATTTTTGTACAGTTCCTATGAAGGAAAAAATCTTCAAAGCTCAAGGGTTGTAACTATAAAATAGAAGGCAAAGGTGGAAATACACTAAGTAAACCCAGGTTGTCCCTCAGGCATCGTTACTATAGCTTTCCAAAAAAGAAGGTGGTTCTTCAAAGAAGTAATTCCCAATATTTCCCCCAGACTAAAACCTTGTCATTCCAATGAACTCTAAACTGAGACGCTTTGCATCTCATTTTCCCATTAGGTTTTATTACAGCCAACAAAACTTTCGGTGGTGAACTACTTCCCTTCTCAATGAACACCAGACCCCTCCATGTCTGCACAAACTGAAATAATGAAATGGTTTGTAACCAAAGTTTAGGAATTGGGGGAAGGACCAAAATCTTCTCATCTCCGTGCTAACCAAAGTGTGGTTTTCCAGCCTCCCTTCTTCTTGCCTATGAAAAAATAAATAAATACATACATACACACATACATATATACATAAGCAGAAGCTTGAAAGCCCACTTAAAACTATCAGATTTCTCTTTCAAGTTCTCTCGAAATACAAAGCATTTCTATAAGAAGTGAACAAGAAGCTTCTACAAGAAGTTTTCATGTGAACAAATAGGACCTAAACTCATAGATCAAGTAGGAGCTGGTATACTCAATGAATGCTTTTAAAAAGTAGTCACTGGGCCAGGTGTGGTGGTACACACCTATAATCCCAGCACTGAGGCTGAAGCAGGAGGATTGCTGCAAGGTTGAGACCAGCCTGAACTACAAAGTGAGACCCTGCCTCAAACACACACACACATACACATACACACACACGGTAGTCATGGTGTTGAGAAATGAAATCTGCTCCATGCATCCAAGCCAGAGACATAAAACAAGCAGCTTTGTTTTCACAAAAAATCATTTAGTTTTATACCCTCTTATTATGCCAGCCATTGGTAAAAATTGCTTAATGGTTACTATGTATCAGGCATAAAACAGGTTCTTGCCCTCAAAAAACCTACTATTTAGTTAAGAAGCCAAAACTTACAATGATTTTTTCCCAGCACTTGGGAGGCTGAGGCAGGCGGATGGTTGTGAATTCAAGGCCAGCCTGAGCTACAAGGCGAGCTCAAGTCCAGCCTGAACTGCACAGCGAGACCCTGTCTCAAAAAGACAAAACTTATGATGATTTTAAAAGGACACAAGACAAGACAAGGTACAATTAAATGCTAAATAATGTGGTACAGATGCTAAGCAACCTACAAGATCAGAGAAAAGGAAAAATGGCTGAGGGCTGAGACTGTAAGAGAATAGATTTTCAAAAACTCTTAAAATAATGCCAGATTTAAAGGTTGTTGCAGTGGCTGCTAATTTGTAACTTTAAGGCATTCACATGATTCACCACTATTCTCTAACCAGTAGCTGTTCAAAAGCACTGCCATGAGCAATCAAAGATGTCAGGAGGTATTTCTTCATAACTCCCTAGATTTGCTAATGAGGAACAAAAACTCATACTTTTGTGTTGGAGAACAGACACATGAACCGAGCAGATTTTGTGTGGGGAATTTAGTGGACAGGAACACAAAACTCTGGCTATGGTTTTTGGTGTGAGTTTTGGTTTTTTGTTCTGCTTAACAAGTTTTAAGTTTTGGGAATGAGTCAGGCCCAAAAACAGTTTTTTGATATCTATTTTCACAATTTATTTTCCTTTCAAGAAAAATGAGCTCGAGAGCAAGTTGTCTTCTCAAAGCAATGACAGTCTTCGGACTCCTAAAAATGTTGTGTGAGGGACGTCCAGCGTTCTTTGAAATCAGGGCATCTGCAGAGCAACTAAGCTCTTGCAACCAGGAGGCTTCAAGTGTACATCTGCACTCTTCATCTTAAAAATGCTGGCGAAGATCCTAGTTCTTTGTGTTTCTTACCTTTTCAGTCTGTGCAATGCAGGGAGCCAGAGCTCAAAGAGATTTGTCATTATGCTGTTTAAACTACTAAAACAGTGACGTGTTGAGTTACTTTAAACAAGTTTAGAGTATTACAGTTTGCCTTTTCTCTCTATATTTATGTTCAGGATCTACCCGAGAAACGTCATTCGTATTCCCAATTCTTTTTCATCACAGTTGTACAGCCAGGCAAAAGAACACACTCTGGTGTTCCCTGAAGGGGAGGGAGGAAACCTGCAATAATGGGAAGTAATTAAACTTAGCCTTAGAAAAGTCTTTGAAAATGTTCTAATCAAGACTTCCAGCTTTCCCGAGTGTGTGCGCGCTTTATTTTCCAATCTTCCTGGTCCCGATTTGCATTCCTAATAAAAAGGGAGCTGACAAAGCTTGAAAGTGGTCTAAGCCAGCAAGGCTGCTTTGGGTGAGCCAAAAATTAATCAATATTCCAGAAACCTCGGGGCTCTGCCCGCCTTCCCTGTTCTGTTTTCGTTTCCCCACTCCCCCTTTCCCGCGCCCAGGCTCCTCCCCTTTTCTTAAGTGGCCCTGATAGTAAGTTGCAGTTTCCGAGCACATGCAGAGGTCGGGCCAGCCTGCTGCTCGCTGCGTCCTGCCACTCCGTCGTACCTGCCCGGACCTCACCTTGTCACTGCCTGGGCGGCCTTCCACCGGTTGGAAAATCAGAAAAGGTAAGGATAAGCACCGTATTCCGGCTGGGTTTACTTTCTCTTCCCACTTCCCTGCCGGTCTATTTTGCGCTCCCGCAGTGGGGCAGCGAGCGCAGGCGCTGGCTTGGCCATGTTGGGGGATGAAGTCCACGCCAGGAACTGAACGTAGGGAGCGAGCGTGTGGTGTCTAAGCCGGATCCACTCCCAATTTGGGTTTGAGTCACTGAGGATTAGGGGTAGGTTGTGGTTGGCGATCTAGAAGAGGGAATGAAAACTGGGCCGGTCTGCTTTAAAGTGACTGACCGGTAAAAAGAATCCAGCGCATTTAGTTTAAAAAAAAAAAAAAAAAAAAAGCCGGACCCTTCCCCTCTGCTGGTCTTCACTTCTCTCTCTAAACTTTTAATCTGGTGTAAAGTCTTCAACAAGTAGTAGGTTTTTAGATCCGCGACCGCAATCCGCAATTTGTTTAAAAGTCAAACTGTTAGGACAAATCTTTTTTTCCACCCTTGGATTTGCCAAAGGCTTGCGAGGAATCCTGGGTTTCCAGTTACCTCCACAAGACGCGCACGCGGGCCCTCGCCCGGCCAGACGCGCAAGTCCGCAGGCACCGCCGAGCTTCCCTGCGCTTGATCGCGGCAAAGATTATAGACCCGGGCTCTCCTAAAGCCGCGGGAGGAATCCCTTGGTTTTCCAGATCCTCTGATTTCCAGCAAGGAAAGGTTTTCTTAATAACTGTGTTTGAATAACCTTAGAGTGCTTTAAAGAAATCAGAAACCACCCACTGTAATGCTTGGATTGAAAACTGGATTCTTCTAATCGTTTCACGTAGAAATCCCAAATTTTAAAATACTTAGGAGTCAGTGATAGTTTCCTCAGAAGACACCGATGTGTTTGCCACAAAGACAAATGCTACTTTGTCCTTGTGTTTATAATAACATGAAAATGAATTATGATTTCAGATAATTTGTTAGATATGCCTGCAGCCCTTGGTTTATTTTATGGAAAAAAATTTCAAGTGGTACCCTGTAAAGTAGGCAAGTGTATGACTCATATCCCCTGGGCACTTGTGTTCTTTTCAGAGCGATATTCACTAGTTGATATTCTCATTTTTTTCTTTCCTCTCAGAGATTTCCATAGCCCGGGGGCACCTAGTCACTGACCTGCCTGACTTACACCCTTACCTTTTCTCAACCTCCTCTTTTAAGACAAGGTCTCACCATGTAGTCCAGGCTGGCTTTGAACTTGGAATCCTCCTGTCACTGCCTCTCCAGTAATTAGGGTTAGAAGTATGCACCACTTGGCCCAACTCTTTTTTTCCCCTTAATGAAGAAAACAGCCAGTTACTTTACTGCATGTAACACACTCACCTGCTGAATACAGGTATCTTAGTCCTTTTTATTGACCTGGTTATGTCTTCAACCACATATAAACATGAGTTATCAATTAATTATTGGGTACTGCCTATGTGTTCAGCTAATTGGACGTTTATTGTGTTCATTATGCAAGGCTCTTGGCAAAATTCTGAGGGGGGGATGGAGGATGCTCCCCACATGTGGCTCTGAAGAACCCTCTCTTTAGCCTCATTGGAGGGAAAAGGACAGCCTTTGAGAAACAGAACACAGTTTCTCCTTGAGTTTATACCCGTTTCTCACACATGGTCCTGTACGATATGTGCATTCTAGCCTGGAAGCCCCATACTGTGGCTCTCCAGTCCTTGACGGAAGATTATGCATTTTGCCCACAGTCTGCCATACAGTGGGGCAGCACTGATTTCTCATCCCTGGAATCTGTAACTCTTGTTTCTTTCTTTCCCGGTCTAGTTGGGTTCTAACACCAAAGAGGAGATTTGACTTTCTGGGGTAGTTCCAAGACTCGGAAGTGCAAAGAAGAGACACTCTCAGAAAAGTAAACATGACCAAAAGCAATGGGGAAGAGCCCAGGATGGGCGGCAGGATGGAAAGATTCCAGCAAGGAGTTCGCAAACGCACACTTTTGGCTAAGAAGAAAGTGCAGAACATCACAAAGGAGGATGTTAAAAGTTACCTGTTTCGGAACGCTTTTGTGCTGCTTACTGTCACCGCTGTCATTGTGGGTAAGTCACGTGACAAAAAACCAAAACAAAACAAAGACAGAGGCAAACAAACAAACAAAACCCCTGTATCTAGTTTCTCTGGAGCATCTGGCTTCCTGGGAACATTATCAGATGGATTGATTGTAGATATTCAAAATGAAGCTGGGTGTAGTGGTGCACGCCTGTGATCCCAGCACTCAGGAGGCTAAGGCAGGAGGATTGTTGCAAGTTCAAGGCCAGCCTGGGCTACAAAGTGAGCTCAAGGTCCCCCTGAACTGCATAGCAAGACGCTGTCTCAAAAAGACAAAAAAAAAAAAACTATAGCCCAAGCTCTCCTGAATTTGAACACTTTTTCCAGAAAAATTGTTGATGTGTTCGGAGCAATATAGGGTAAACACATGAAAATCTGAAAGAAGCCTCACTAGGCATCATTCAAATCACTTGATTGTGTGGTGAGGGGGGAAAAAAAATCAAACACTTTCCATCTCGTGTAGGAATAAAGGAGCATTTTAATCATTAGGGATGAGCAGTTAAGTAACACCAGAAGCAAGCAAACATCCTAGATTTGGCCAACATCTTATCATTATACAATGTCACTTTCACTTAAAACTAATTTATACAGTTAATGCCTCAAAATGTGATATAGTTCCTTAACCATAATTATAGTCTAGTTGGTGCTGACTTGAAACTGAGCATCAGTGTTTAAACACTAGAATCTTTTATGTATTTGCATGCTCTCACCCAGTGGCTGGGAAAGAAAGGTAAATTGTAGTTCAAACTGGCCTTGCACTCATTATGTAGCCCAGGTTGGCTTTGAGCTAGTGGTGATCCTCCTGCCTCAGCCTCCCAAGTCTTGGGATTATAGGTGTGCACCAGTGCGCTGGCACCAGCTATATCTTTCTTGAAAGATTTCAATTCCTTCTTAATTTAGCATGGTTGACAGCACTTTGTCCTAATAAAACATTGTTTTGTTTATTGCTATTGGAGTTTTAGTTTATTATTTATGGGTACCATTGATCTTATAATATAGCTGAAAAAATACTTACTTGGAATTTTTTACCAAATTAATATAGAAATCCTTAAGTTGTCAAATATACAAACCAATACCAGGTTATAAAAAAAGTTCTGTCTTAATTTTACGCTAATTGGCTACCAAAAAAGCATTCACATACAGTTTTAATATCTGCCTTGGAATTAGCCAAGATCTCCAACTATAAAGAGGTAATGACTTAGTAAAAATTAAGAAAATTCTGTAGCATCTAAATATAATTATAACTTTTTCCAAGAAAATATGATTCATACATTGCACACAAATTGAAATATAGCAGGAGAATATAGTCTGTCACAAGACTTTAGATATATCCCATTTCAACATCTTTGGCTCCTTTTTGTGACTGTTGATTAATGAATATTCAATTAATTGTAAAGAAGCTCAAAGAGAACATATCCTGACTCACTCAGAGATGTAATGACTTTCCTTGTGTAGATTCCCAACCTTGAGTGTATTCCTGGAAGAGGTATTTCAGTACAGTTCATTGACCTGGGACTCAAGGCAAAAATGCATTATCTTGATCTCATTTTTTGTTCTGAATCACAGGCGTTGTCAATACTCAGAGCTAACATTTATGTAGTGCTGTTCCAGCTGTGTTCTAGGTTTTTTTGTATGTATTAGCTCACTTAATCCTCAAACGAATCTATGGAGTGAGTGGGTAGGTATGATTTCTGTGATCTTTCTCACTTTACAGATGAAACTGGTCATGGAGAGATCAATCAACTCACCCAAAGTCATGAGGCTATTAAGTATTAAAATGGGAAGTCAAACTAGTCTAGTGCCAACTGCTGACTAGTTGACATCATATGAGAAATGCCAGGAAGAGAAACACTTCCATGTGTGGGTGGAGAGCAGTTAGCAAGCAGAGCTAGATGCAGTCATATATCATGGTCATTTTATTATTTGATTTCCCCAATTAAACTCAGCAAAAACTTACCTTTCTCATTCATTTGACAAATCGCCATTAATTCTTTATCCATAACACCTATTAAAAGTGTATTCTAAACCCCAGAAAAATTCAATCTTTAAAAGAGAAATACTTCTGCTAAAGAACAGAGGAAGGGAAAATAATAAAACCTGACCATGGAAGGAGAAGGAAGTTCCTAAATACAAAGTAATAGTATCTCTAAAAAATAGGAAGAAAACACAAGGAGTTGAGGTCTATTTTCCCTAGGAGCTCTAAGATCACTTCCTAGCCCAGGGAGGCCTTTCCTCCAATTTGTGAGAATTGCAAATAAGAGTTGGCTGAGCTGGGGTAGATAAGTTGGCAGGATGCCCTCATGGTTGGCCTTACCAGTGGAAACTGAGGAGTTAGGAGCAACAAGAAGAAGGCACTAACAAAGAACACATAAAAAAGAGCTCATTGACAGTCAGAGAGACCGCTAAGTCTACACCAATGACTTGGAATAACAAATAGATAATTTAGTAACAAACAGATTTAGGAGAGAAGGAAGAACCATTCTGTTATCTGTTGGTATGTCATCCATTGAAGACCCAGTGGAAACAAAGGCTCCATTTATCTAGGCACTAGGTTCCATGTCTACATCAGCCTTAAATAAAATAAAAGCGAAGGAATATGTCTGGACACCAACTCTTTTATTCACTTCAGTGTAATAATAAAAAACAGGAAAGATACTAACAAGGAAGAAGAAAATAGTTACTTTCCCAAAATACATCGTAAGAACTCTAATTATTACTTAATTTTCAAATGCTTAGACTCCAAATTTTTTAGTGAAAAACACTGAGAAAACCTGGGTAGTTGGGGTAATCTTTGTTGTTCAGTCTGTTCTGTCTTTTTAAAATAAAATGAATGTATTGGAAATGGAAGCTAGAAAAATATCATGGAGGAATAGATATATCTGAACCCATATATTCAGAATAAAGCAGAGAATTGTAAATATTTCAATATCAAATCCTCTATAACCATAGAACCACTTGAACAGCCTGATTTTACATCCTGTGTCATTTCTCAGCAAGGTTGAAGTCTTATAATGTGCAGTGCTATGACAAAAGCTCATGTAAGTAGAGCAGGTTAGCATCCTGACAGACAGCATGCTAAGTTTCCAGTCCTTTTAAGAGGTTTTGTCAGGAAAGTACTAGGATAATGTGTCTTCCAGGGCTGTGGCAGACATCTGTCTGACAAAAAACACACTACAAGACTGTTATTCTTCCTCCAGAAAGCACTTTCTTGTCTCAAACTGTGGTGAGTTGTGTTAGAGTGACCTCAAACATCTGGCTGAAAGAAAGGGAAAATCATTTGTCTTCTACAAATCACAGAATACCAACTCTTTTCCGTGAATTGCACAATAAAAAGAATCAAATCTCAGGCAGAGGATTATGAAGAAATGGATCACAAGACCAACGGAAGGGGTGGGAATCTAAATAGAACTGCATAGAATCAGATGGTGGTTTTACCTAATGGGGTTTTTGGGTATCTTTCTCTGCTGTTGGTCTTGCCATTTGTGCATACTCAAAAAGTTTACATTTGAGTTTCCCTTTATGTGAGTTTGAGAGAAATTGGTATTTCTTAAGAAAGAAAACAAACTGATTGCATTTTCACAAAATAATAATACTCCTGGAGTAAATTTAAATTGCACTAAAATTCATTTCAGTGCAATTCTATAAAAATATCTGAATTAACTGGTCATCATAGATGCCTTGGGATAGGAACTAGGTATCTGTGGGAAGGGGTAGAATGAATATTACTTTCCTCTGAATAAGTTTTTGGGGTAGTTTGAATGTTTTGATACTTTTTAGCTCATTAATATGTCATCTATTAGCTATTCTCTAATAAATGAGTAAGTTAAATTGCTTTTTGTTTTTGAGACAAGGTCTCCATATGTAGTTTGGGTTGGTCTTGAACTCCTTATATAGCCCAGGTTTACCTATGACTCACGGCCATCCTCCTTCCTCAGTCCCCAGAGTGTTTGGATTACACCACTATGCCCAGCTCAGATTATTTATTTTTCAAAAATCCAATGCTGCTCACCAATTTAAAAACTATTAAATCCTGTGTATCTAGCCCTGGACTATGTAGTTAGTTTAGAGGGGAAGATGGGTAAGAGTAAGGTGAGAGTATACACAACGCTCAGTGATGGCAACAGCAAAGCTGGAAGTGAGCTCTACACATTTAAAAACTGAGGTTGGATGAGCATGGTGGTGCATACCTGCAATCCAACACTCAGGAGGCTGAAGCAGGAGGATTGCCTCAAGTTCAAGGCCAGCCCTGGGTTACATACTGAGTTCAAGGCCAGCCTAAACTATATAGCAAAACACTGTCTCCAAATAAAGGAGGGAGGAGGATCCTACTATGCGTACTGTTTTGCATGATACGTGGCATCTTTCTCTGGTAATATTTTAGAGGTTCCATTTTCTTATAAACACCTGCATTGGGATCCCTACATGTGCGATATTAAAAGAGAGAGGAGGGGGAGAGAGAGAGAGAGAGAGAGTATGGCCTTTGGTGAAGGATAGACCTGGATTCATATGCTAGGTCTGTTAATAGTTCATATGTTTCTAGAGAAGACATTTAACCTTTTTTTAGCCTCAGTGTCCTCATTTGTCATTACAACTATAATAAAATAACAAACACGCTCTCAATAATATGACAGTCACTCTGTGTTCTGACTATTGTTGTGTTTTAACTTTCTTTAAACATTCTAACAGCCCAGAGAAGGAGGCATTCTTGTTTCTCTCATTTTACAGATGAGGAAACTGAACTCTGACCCTCACTCTCCTGTCGGTGTATATTGAGTGGGATTCCGAATCCACCATTCCAGCCTACTGCTCTTACCACACTGCTCTGGGTGCCAGTCCCTGCTCCCAGGGAGGCCTGTCCTCCTATATTAGAGCAGTTCGTTAACAGTCTGCACTGATCCTCCCCAGGAGAGGTGGGAAGGAGATTTCAATTGGGAGGTTGTTAGACAGTCACTCGTGAGAGTTGGTGATTGAATGAGAGAGGGCGGATTAC